AAGTGTGAAATTGAGAGATTCTGATCAGTAGTGCCAACCTGGCTTAACTAAAGTTTAGCTGCAGGAAGATCTTGCGATAGGCTACCATGTGTGATCCACAGCTAACCTCAAAAGTTTTCTATGGATTCTATCAACAATGAACTTTTTTTCTTTGATGTCTCTAGTCAGCCTATTCAAAAACTGTATAGACTGATCTCTTTACTGGCCCTCAATAGGTTTACCTGCAAAAATGTACAAACAAATGTCACTGTTTCCAGACTTCTGTAGTTTTGCTTTTGTTCCTTGACAACCTTTTCACTGACTGCCTTGGGTCTCAGTTTCCAAACGATCTTCCCTTCTAATTCACCACCTAAAATATACGCTTATATGCAAATATAATGTGCATAGAGTTTAAAGAAAGAAATGAGCACTCCAGTGTACCTTAATAGAACAAACCCAGTATTTTGGAAGTATACGCCTTTTCCCTCAACCAGTTTTCTATGTTTTTTAGTAAGTTGCTTCATCTTCAGGAAAGAATATCCAATGGCAAAAAAACAGTCTCGTCAACAGATGGTGTAAGGAAAACTGGACAGCAACATGCAGATGAAACTGGACCACGTTCTTACACCATACACAAAAATAAATTTGAAACGAATGAAAGACCTAAATGTGAGACAGGAAACCATCAAAATCCCAGAGGAGAATACAGGGAGCAACTTCTTTGACCTTGGCCATAGCAACTTCTTACTAGACACGTCGCCCAAGGCAAGGGAGATAAAAGCAAAAATGAACTGTTGGAACTTCATCAAGATAAAAAGCTTCACAGAGAAGGAAACAGTCAACAAAACTAAAAGGCAGCCTACGGAATGGGAGAAGGTATTTGCAAATGACATTTCTGATAAAGGGTTTGTATCCAAAATCTGTCAAGAACTTCTCAAACTCAGTACCCCAAAAACAAATAATCCAGTCAAGAAATGGGCAGAAGACATGAACAGACATTTCTCCAAAGAAGACATACATACAAATGGCCAACAGACACATGAAAAGATGCTTAACATCACTCATCATCAGGAAAATGCAAATAAAATCTACAATGAGATATCACCTCACATGTGTCAGAATGGCTAAAATTAACAACACAAGAAACAACAGGTATTGGTGAGGATGCAGAAAAAGGGGAACCCTCTTGCACTGTTGGTGGGAATGCAAGCTGGTGCAGCCACTCTGGAAAACAGTATGGAGTTTCCTCAAAAAGTTAAAAATAGAACTACCTATGATCCTGCAATTGCACTACTAGGTATTTACCCAAAGGATACAAAAATACAGATTTGAAGGGCTACATGCACCCCAATGTTTATAGCAACATTATCAACAACAGCCAAACTATGGAGAGAGCCCAAATGTCCACTGACAGATAAATGGATAAAGATGTGGTATATATACAGAATGGACTATTACCCAGCCATCAGACTGAAATCTTGCCATTTGCAACAACATCGATGAAGCTAGAGTGTGTTATGCTAAACAGACTACGTCAGTCAGAGAAACACAAATACCATATGATCTCACTCACATGTGGAATTTAAGAAACAAAACTGATAAACATATGAGAAGGGGGGGAAGGAAAGAGAGGGAAACAAACCATAAGAGACTCTTAATGATAGAGAACAAACTGAGGGTTGAGGGTTGGGAGGGAGGTGGTGGGATGGGGGATGGGCTAGATGGGTGATGGGTATTAAGGAGGGCACTTGCTGGGATGAGCACTGGATGTTTTATGTAAGTAACGAATCACCGAATTCTGAAACCAACATTGCACTATATATTGACTAAAATTAAAAAATAAATAAGTTGCTTCATCTGAAAAACAAATGACCAAGACTGCAAATTGAACAATGAGAGTAAGCTTGTCCTTTCAAATATTAAAACATTCTATAAAGTTACATAGTTAAAACAGTGGGATAGGTATTGAAAAAAATAGAAAAGTGACACATGTGTACATAAAATAGATTGGTAACATTAAATTTCGGTAAATATAGTGAAAATAACTTCATAGCTTGTAGTGGGAAAATAAATCGGTACGGTCATTTTGTAGGGCAGTTTGGCAATATAACAATTTAATTTTATTTATAAATAAATAAGATCAAGATCAAGACCTGAGCTGAGATCAAGTGAATGATCTCAATTTTAAAGGTCCTCATTCTTTAACCCAGCAATTCTATTTCTACAAAGATTTCTGTAGGAATAGTCCAACGTAAGGGCGCCTAGGTGACTCAGTTGGTTAAGTGTCTGCCTTCATCCCAGGTCATGATCTCAGGGTACTGGGATCAAGCCTCACGTGGGGCCCGGAGTCTGCTTCTTCTCTCCTTCTGCCTCCACTCTCCCCCCACTCCCACTCGTGCTCTCACTCACTGTCTCTATCAAATAAATAAAATCTTAAAAAAATATTTCAACATAGCATGAAGACACAAGTAGAAAGTCAGTGCAGCAGTTTGTAACTGAGAAATTTGGGAAACTAATCAACCAGTAGCAAGGGAAGGGTTAAAGTGTACACTTACTGAGGAAAATCAAGTTGCTGAAAGAAAAAAAAAAGTATGTGCAGTTATGTAAAAGTACTAGTGAAACTGTTAAAAGTGTTTTCCTGTAAGAGAATAGGTTGAAAAGAGCAGATAGGGAGCTCTGGGAACCTTAAACTGGGTGAAAACTCAGGTGGCACTGCTTCATGCCCTGCTTTGAGAGGAGTCTAATAGGTTTCTTTCTTTCTTTTTTTTTTTTAAAGATTTTATTTATTTGACAAAGAGAGACACAGCGAGAGAGGGAACACAAGCAGGGGGAGTGGGAGAGAGAGAAGCAGGCTTCCCTGCAGAGCAGGGAGCCCAATGCGGGGCTGGATCCCAGGACCCTGGGATCATGACCTGAGCCGAAGGCAGACGCTTAACGACTGAGCCACCCAGGCGCCCCCTTCCTTTTTTTAATTGAACATTTGTTCTTTATTTACTCTGATATTGCCCTTCTGGATTAAATAATAGATTTTTTAAAAATCCAACACTTGATATGCAGAGAGAATTTTTTTTTTAAAGGTTTTATTTATTTGACAGAGACACAGCGAGAGAGGGAACACAAGGAGGGGGAGTGGGAGAGGGAGAAGCAGACTTCCCGCAGAGCAGGGAGCCCGATGTGGGGCTCCATCCCAGGACTCTGGGATCATGACCTGAGCCGAAGGCAGACATTTAACGAATGAGCCACCCAGGTGCCCTGATATGCATAGAGAATTTTACATAAGTGTCATCACACCTAAATGCTTTTATTTCAAGTTCAACCTCCCTTCTTTTCTTGGTTCTAATCTCCATCTTACCATTTTCTTCTTTCACAAAATCATCTCAGACAAGTCTCTGTGTATGTATAGGATATTTTTGTCTCAGTTTCAGAATAGTCAGACTCCTGTGGCTTGTATCTGCTGCCAGTAATCTTTCTTGTAAAGGAGAAAATCTGACGTTGTGGTCCTATGGGTACTACTTAGAGGGGGAAAGAGTCAACATCGAGTCTTCGTTCTACTCTGATGTGACTTCAACTGAAACTGAGTCTGCATTGTTTTTGAGTCTTAAATGTTTGAAGTTCACTCTACCTAGGCTTTTCTTTGGTTCTTCTAAAAAGTTAATAAACTTAGAAATAAAATGCAAAGCGGAATTTATAAGTGCTTATTTAAAATTGGATGGTCATCTATTAGTGGTGATTAAAGGGTTTATGATATACTCCATTCCCTTGATCTTTAGATTTCCTTGAATTTTTTTAAAAAGATTTTATTTATTTGAGAGAGAGAGAGCAAGAGGGGGGACAGAGGGAGAAGAAGCAGATCACCCCCACACCCCCTGCTAGGCAGGGAGCTGGAGGTGGGGGCTTGATCCAAGGACCTGGAGATCATGACCTCAGCCTAAGGCATACCTTTAACCAACTGAGCCACCCGGGTGCCCCAGTTTCCTTGAACTTTTTAAATGAAAATACTCATAACCAAAGATTGCTGCATGTTGGTTCTTTATCCTAGCACCCAGCTGTTAACAGTTTGCTTCCCTCTGCGAGCCTGGCACTGGAGTCCCAGCTGCCAGGAGTAGAGCAGGAAGCCAAAATGATAGAGGTGCTAATTATCACTACAAAGGCAATCATTATAATATGTAAATATATCAAATTAACATGTACAGCTTAAATTTACACAATGTTCTATGTCAAATATATTTCAGTTAAAAAGAAAAAAAGTGGCAAAGAGGACTAGCCATCATCCCGCGCCAGGACTCCCCGCTGCTGCGCTTACTGAGGGAAGAATTACCAGCGCTGCTGGTGTCTCACTTGCAGCAAACTTCGCTGAAGGCGGGATGACCCCCCAAGACTTGAGGACAACAGCAGGACAGTCCTGGCTCCTTCTCCCAATTTTCCCCTTCTTCGCCGTCAGGTGGACGAGCTGGGAAGTCGGGGGTTGCTTCCGGTGCCACGATATATCCAGCCACGTGGATCGGGTTGGAACAAAGTTTTCTCATCCCACATCAACTAGAGTAGAAACACCACACGCTTTAAGAAGTTTTCCATCGAGCACAGACTCGATGGGCTGGAGAAGCCTCTTAACCGGCAAAACCAGATTCTTGCGGTTAAAGAGCACGAGGGAAGCACCAGCCGGTGGCGGGGAAGAGTGCTGCCTCGGGCGGCTAGAAAACCAAGAGGTCTCACCTGCATCTAGGTAGAGAGCAGCCTAGGGCAGATACTGGCTGCTGGAGGAAAGGCCTCTCCCTCCCCTTTTACCTGCCAATTAGTAGACGCTAGAGAAATTCAATTATTTATTAGGGAACTTCGATTCTTTATTAGAACTCTTTAGATCAGTGTTTGCAAACATTTAACATGGGGGCGGGGACCAATAACTACCCACACCATTCTTTCCCCAGCTTCTGCATGAGGAAGCAGGACTTAGATGAATAGAGCAGCAGTAAGGCCTTCCACTTTATCCTTGCCTGGCTCCTGCTCCCGGGCCCCAAGTGCTTTTATGACCTGGTAACCGGGCCCTGGGTAGCGTCCGGGGACCGCTGAGTCGCCGCCTCCCGGGCAGCCTCGGGGGACCGCTGGGTCGCCGCCTCCCGGGCTGCGCCGGGGGACCGCTGGGTCGCCGCCTCCCGGGCAGCCTCGGGGGACCGCTGGGTCGCCGCCTCGCGGGCAGCCCCGGGGGACCGCTGGGTCGCCGCCTCGCGGGCTGCGCCGGGGGACCGCTGGGTCGCCGCCTCGCGGGCTGCGCCGGGGGACCGCTGAGTCGCCGCCTCGCGGACAGCCTTCGGGGACCGCTGGGTCGCCGCCTCCCGGGCAGCCTCGGGGGACCGCTGGGTCGCCGCCTCGCGGGCAGCCCCGGGGGACCGCTGGGTCGCCGCCTCGCGGGCAGCCCCGGGGGACCGCTGGGTCGCCGCCTCGCGGGCTGCGCCGGGGGACCGCTGGGTCGCCGCCTCGCGGGCTGCGCCGGGGGACCGCTGAGTCGCCGCCTCGCGGACAGCCTTCGGGGACCGCTGGGTCGCCGCCTCGCGGGCAGCCTTCGGGGAACTCTGGGTCGCCGCCTCGCGGGCAGCCTTCGGGGACCGCTGGGTCGCCGCCTCGCGGGCAGCCTTCGGGGACCGCTGGGTCGCCGCCTCGCGGGCAGCCTTCGGGGAACTCTGGGTCGCCGCCTCGCGGGCAGCCTTCGGGGAACTCTGGGTCGCCGCCTCCCGGGCAGTGTCGGGGAACTTCTGGGTCGCCGCCTCCCGGGCAGTGTCGGGGAACTTCTGGGTCGCCGCCTCCAGGGCAGTTTTCGGGGAGCTCTGGGTCGCCGTCTCCCGGTCAACGTCGGGGGACCGCTGGGTTGCGGCCTCTCGGGAAGCATCGGGGGACCGCTGGGTCGCTGCGTCCTGGGCAGGGACCTTCTCTGAGCCTGGAAGAACAGTGTGGAGACCTTACCTGTGTCCCCATACTCTTTCCACAAAAGGATTCATCCATTTGGGCTGGGGGGTTGGGGTCCGGGATTTGAGGTCAATTTGGCCTCCTAGATCCCCTTGCAAGAAGAAATCTCTCTCCTGGACGGACTGAGAGGATGAAACCGCTGCTCGGTTTCATCCAGAAAGCATCAATCAGGATCCCTCCCAAGGAACCCTGGCCTGCCCGGGGTGCCCCTATTTATCTGGTTCCGTACTTTGTGCCCGGAGTTGGCGGTGATAGTCAGCCAAATTCATGATCATCTTGGATACATCTTTCTGGTAATAAGGCCGACCAAATATCAAGATCTCAGCCTCGCCCTCGGGGTCCCACCGATTAACGTGAAGCAGAGTCTGCGACACACACTCGACGTGTGGGATGTGCTCTCCTCCCCGGCCTGCGCAGGAGCAAAGAGGCTGTGAGGGGTGGGATTTGGGAGGAGAAGGCGGCGGGAGGAGGCAGCGCTGGATTGCGGCTAGGGCCACTGGAGAGGCTTGCCCTGGGGAGAGGAGAGGGAAAGACCGCATTGGGCACCCCTCTCGGACCCACTCACCGAAGATCGCTTCCACCAGCCACGCCTCGAGGTGAACTGCCTTCGGACTCTTCAGGTACTCGGAGTGGAACCAGTAGGGCTGCTTGGTGAGGTTACCGAGCACCGTGAACAGCGTCCCTTCTCGCTGCTCCAGCTGCACGAGCGTCGGAAACCGCCTGGGAGTGACCATGCTGCAGCAGGCCTTGCTGGTAGCGGCTGTGCGGCTGCCAACCCGAAGGCCGAGGTTGGGAGCAGCTGCCGCAGTTGCGGCGGGGCCAGGGCTTCATTTCAAGGGCGTTTGGCAAGCCCCTCCCCATCCGCGCCCTTTTCATTGGATTCCAGCCCTCACCTCCCAAACTCCGCTGCTGGGGCTTCTTCCCGAGATCGCCCGAGTGCACGGAGTCGAGCACCTGGGCGCTCTAGGAGGGGCCGTTGCTCGGGACCCGCCCTTTTCCCAGGCTCTGGGAGCCAGAGGCGGAGCGCCCGCGTGGGAGCTCTGGAAAGCTGGCCTCTGGGAGGCGCGGGCAGCCGCAGAGAGGTAGGGAACATCCAGCGTCAGGACAATACCTTTAAGAGAAGCGAACTAGTCTGTGCGGAGACCCACGTGCTTTCCAGCGGTTCTAAGGGGACCAGCATTCCTGAGGGGTTGGAATGACTTTTTCGTGGAAAACCCAATGAAATATATGGAAAAAGTCAAAGCTTAAGGTATTCAAGGGCTAGCGGGGCACCCGGGTGGCTCAGCTGGTTAAGGTATTCAAGGGCTAAACTAAGTCCCACTTCCTCCTGAACCCTGACCACTGAGTTACCTCCCCAGAGGCCATCACATTTCCAGCTTCTTCCTTAACCTGTCAGAGACAGCTGAGCACACCCAGCAGTGTATGGTCTATATGGTTTGGGCGCCACAGGGGAATCCATTGAAACTTTTTTTAATTCTCTAAGTAATACAATATTTCTGTGTCTTGGTTTTTTTGTCCAGCTTAAAGCATTACCCATTGATTGCTACTCAGGAAGATAAAGCTGTATTGCTCTTGAATCAGTAGTTGGGGTGTCATGCCCAGACCCAGCAGTGAGAGATCCCCAGAACTCAGGCTCATCCTTGTATCCTCCATGGGAGTTCTGTAGGCCAAAGAAGTGAGTGAGAAATTTGTAGGTGTGTGACAACATCAAAAGTCTTGAGAACTAAGCAGAATATGAATTGAGAGCAAAAAAAGGGCAAAATCCATTCAAAGGATCACAGGATGGAGTTATAAACTTCTGTGGGTAGGCAGAATGATTGAGTGTGTGTATAACTGACACCCAGGGATCTGGGCTTCATAACTGTCCCCTCTGGAGGTTATGGACTCACTAACATAGCAACTGTAAATTGAATTTTAAGGTCCCATCACTGTTGCCAACAAGAATCCAGTCCAGGAGGTATTTCCATGACAATCTCTAGTCTGTAATCTCTTTGATGATATAGGATAATATATTGTTTCTTGGTTGGCATAAGAAAACACTTAGGGTTCTATGCATGTTATTGTCATTTATGTGTATGCGTGTGGAGTGCATGTGTAGAGATCTTTTACTTCACTGAAGTTTTAGAGTTGGGTATAGAAATACTTGAGAATTAAAACCATAGTGTAAATAATTTTGTTTAAAAGGAATCTCTCATTTATGTAGAACCCATGGTTTTTACTATAGATATCTTTCCTACTTTGTTTCTGATTAGCTTGCAGGAAGCTGAGGATGAGGTAGCTGAATTCCAGGAAAGAAGGAGAAAATTAGAGGCAGAGTTGTGGGCACAATTAGTTCAGGCCGAACGAAGAAATAGAGACTTGCAAGTTGGTAAGGAGACCGAAACATAAAGTGGAAGCATTGAAGACAATTGTGGCAGGAGATGCTGATGCCTAATGTGCTAGGTTTATTAAAATGAGAAATATATTTTTTCAGGTGGAACTTAAGAGCAGTAGTCCACAACAACAGAATAAGCTTCAAGTGAAATTTTGAAATAAAATGTGTTCTTTCATGGAACCAAGGGAAAGGTGGTTTAGAGTTTAGAAGTTCACTTAGAAACTTCATAGCTGTCAGTTTTCTAGCTATAATGTTCCTTTAATTTCAAAGGCTGATTGTTTTGACAGATAGATTGCCTCTTCTACAGGACTTTAAAATTACATATATAACATACAGTTATTTCATTATTATTCATTGTCCCTTCAGTTTTGGAGTCTCGTTTGGGTTAAAAAATTAGCTTTAAAAAGGCGTTTTCAGGGCGCCTGGGTGGCTCAGTTGGTTAAGGGACTGCTTTTGGCTCAGGTCATGATCCTGGAGTCCCGGGATCGAGTCCCGCATCAGGCTCCCTGCTCAGCAGGGAGTCTGCTTCTCCCTCTGACCCTCCCCCCTCTCATGTGCTCTCTCTCTCATTCTCTCTCTCTCAAATAAATAAATAAAATCTTTAAAAAATAATAAAAATAAAAATAAATAGAAAGGCGTTTTCAGTAGTAAAAAGATTAACCCTTTTCATTGCTCTTTACTACCTGCCTTAGACAAATGCTTGGGAGTGTTTCTGTGTCTGGGGAGTGAATGGGTTTGGGGAAGGTAGTGAGAGACTTCAGGTAACGGGTAAGGAATTTGGACTCTTGGTGGTACTTTACACTGGCCTTACCCTGGGCTGCATTCAGCCTGAGAACCCAGAGGTTCTCTCACCAAGTTCATGGTATTTGAGGCAATGGTTTCATTATTTTACTTCTCTTTCAGAGAGAGACTTCCTTTCATTTTGATAGAGCAAATCTATTGTTTCTGAGGAAGAATGAATATTTTGAGGCCTTGCATGTTGGAAAATATTTTTTCTTTTTTTAAAGATTTTATTTATTTATTTGACAGAGAGAGACAGAGAGAGAGGGAACACAAGCAGGGGGAGTGGGAGAGGGAGAAGCAGGCTTCCTGCAGAGCAGCGAGCCCAATGTGGGGCTCCATCCCAGGACCCTGGGATCATGACCTGAGCCAAAGGTAGACGTTTAACGACTGACCCACCCAGGCACCCCTGGAAAATATTTTTATTCCATCCACAAGTAGATTGAACATTTGGTCTTAGAATTCTTTTTTTTTTTTTTAAGATTTTATTTATTTATTTGACAGAGAGAGACACAGCGAGAGAGGGAACACAAGCAGGGGGAGAGGGAGAGGGAGAGGGAGAAGCAGGCTTCCTGCTGAGCAGGGAGCCCATGCGGGGCTCGATCCCAGGACCCTGGGACCATGACCTGAGCCAAAGGCAGACACCCAATGACTGAGCCACCCAGGCGCCCCTGGTCTTAGAATTCTTGATTGAAATAATTTTTCCCTCAAAATTTCATGCTTCAGTTAATTGTCTGCTAGCTTCCAGTGATGCTTTTGAGAAGTTTAGGCCATTCTGATCTTAATCTTTGGGAGATATTCTTCAATTATTTTATTAAACATTTTTTTCTTTGTGTTTCCTCTTACCTCTTTCTAGAACACCTATTATTTAAAAGTTGGCCTTCTGGGGCGCCTGGGTGGCTCAGTTGGTTAAGCGACTGCCTTTGGCTCAGGTCATGATCCTGGAGTCCTGGGATCGAGTCCGGCATCGGGCTCCCTGCTCAGCAGGGGGTCTGCTTCTCCCTCTGACCCTCTTCCCTCTCGTGCTCTCTGTCTCTCATTCTCTCTCTCAAATAAATAAATAAAATCTTAAAAAAAAAAAAAGTTGGCCTTCTGGACTGCTATTCTTTTTCTTTTCTTTTTCATCTGCCCTATGTTGTTTTTGTTTGTCTAGTAAAAAACTATTTGGAAGCTCTGAGCATGTATGTTTGTCTACATCCAACATTCACTGAGGGAGATATGAGTAGAACTTTTTCTTGAGAACCCTAGTGCAGTCTCATCCGCTTCCTCCCACCCCCCACAGGCCAACATATTCATGATCATTAACATGGCAGGCCCTCATAGCCAGTTCCTGGCACAGAGTGGGACAAGGGAGGGAATGGCTCCCACAGGTAGTGAAGTGAAGGGAGAGAGGGGCAGGAATTGACCCACTGCAGCCTGGATACCTCCCACCCCAGCCCTTGAGCTTGCACCACAAAGGGCCAAATTGGCCCGGCTAGGTTTTTGTGATAGACCCCAGATTCTGGGCAACTGCCCTGGATCCTACCCTCTACCCTGCATTAGGTGATTACTGTACACGTGGGAGGGAAATGGTGTGCCTTTCTCCTTTCCTTCTAGGTGCTACAGTAGGCCCTGTGGAAGAGGTGCTGCCAGAGCTCACTCTAACCCCAACCACATCCCCAAGTCTATATGGCCCCGTAGTTGGAGTTGAGCAGATCACAGACCAGGAGCAGGATCCCAAAGTCTTAGGTGGCCCCTGAGGTGGGGACACGGCTGGACTCATTTGGACCTAGCTTGCCTCATCTTAATGCTTCTGCCGCCAAGACTGTGGCCAGTGACTTTTCTTTCTGCCCCTCCATTTCTTTCCTTTTTTTTTTTAAGTTTTTTTTTGTTGTTGTTTTTGTTGTTTTTTAAAGATTTTATTTATTTATTTGTAAGAGAGAGAGAAAGAGCACAAGCAGGGAGAGCGACAGGCAGAGGGAGAAGCAGGCTCCCCGCTGAGCAAGGAGCCTGATGCGGGACTCGATCCCAGGACCCTGGGATCATGACCTAAGCCAAAGGTAGACGCCCAACCAACTGAGCCAACCAGGCATCCCAGTCCACCCCTCCATTTCTTTTCCCCAGTCTTTAGGCTCTATTATTTTTATTCTAATAGATTAGTTTCCCTTATTGTTTGAGATTGGAAGAAAACACTTCTTCGTTAAGTTTGTACTGCACGGGCAGGATGTGGGTTTTTTTCCCACTCTTAACAAAGGGCCAGCCTAGAGGGGGTGGAGACATCACAAAATCCAGCAGGTTTCCCTAGGAAAGAAGGAATTCTGTCACATCAGCTCCTGTCCTAGCCTTTCAGCCATTTGTAACATGTACAATTCAGTGGCATTAAATGTATTCACAATGTTCTGGAATTATCACCACTCAAAACTTTATCATCCCTGCCAGCCTGCCCTACAAATTTCAGACTGGCCAGCTACACAATCCCATAAGCCAGTTCCTTGAAATAAATCTCTTTGTGTGTGTGTGTCTGGTTCTGTTTTTTTTGGTGAACCTTGATTGATAAACTCCTTGAGGACTTGATGACTTTCTTTTGTTCTCTAACTATAT